GTATATATTTGCTCTCTCCATCGGGCTGAGCACAGTGCTTGCATACTGTGTATGTTTAGAACTTGAGTAGAAAGTCTTTAAGCATTTATGGATGAAGGATAAAATGTCCACGAAAAACTTACTCAAGATTGGTGTGGACTGAAACCCTGTTAGAGTAACACAGAGCTGTGTGTGGTCTTCCTGGGGGTCTGGAGGACTGCTGCCCATGATGCTGGCACCCTTGCAGAACAGGAGAGTCCCTGCCCCAGTCTCTCTTGGAGGGTTAGATGCAGCAGGGTCTAACTGCAACGGCAGTGGAGCCCACAGCTGTGGGATACCTTCTTGCCCAGGACTGGCTTCTCTGGCCCCTCCTGGGAGAGCACCCAGTCTGTACTCTGCATTCTGGAAATGAGGCCTTGCTGGGTGTGGTGGTACACACCTGTATTCCCAACACTCTGGAAAGCTGAGGCAAGAGGATCCCAAAGTTCACACCTAGTCTGGGCAACTTAGTGACTTAGCAAGATCCTGTCCCAAAATTAAAAAAGGACTGGGATGTAGCTCAGTGCAAAGACCCTGGATTAAATCCCTAGTGGGAAAAAAAAAAGGCTTTGTGGACAAAGGGGAATGGGAGTACCAGGAGATGGTAAAGGAGCACAGACCCTGAGACACAACTGTGCTGGATGAGAGCAACCAAGGATGTCTTACCTGGCACAGGCAGCTCGGGCTCCAGAGCCCTTTGCTGACCTCTCAACACAGCCTGGTTCCAAGCCTCCACTCTGCCTTGACCACAGGAGGTGAAGAATGGCCTGGCTCTCAGAGAAGACCCACCCTCCCAAGTCTGGCAGGAGCCTGGCTTCTGGCTTCCGTCTGTTCCGAGCGCCTGTGGGCGTCTGGAGGGAACACAGATGGGTCGGCTGATGGGACTGGGCGAGTGGTGGGGGGAGGGTTGTGGTGTGTGGCTCCCCTCACAGGGAGGTCCTACCATCACCTTCAGTAAACAGCACACGCTTTAAGCTTCTGCCGCATGAAAGGTACTGGGCCTTTCTTGTTCCTCAGAACCCTCTCTTGCCACATTGACCCTCAGTGAAACCTTTCTGAAACCTGCCCTTCTTTATTAGTAGCCACAATTTGCTCAGTCCTAATTCCACCACTACCTCTTTGGTGGCTACTTCTCTACCTTCAACTGTTTGTCCCCGGGGCTCCCTAGTCATTCTTTCTCTAAAATAGAGGGTTTTTAATTATTTAGTTTTTGAACAAGTAATAAATGCCATAGCTGAAAATTCAAAAGATAGAAAAAGGGCATCCAATGAAAAATAAACCTCCCTTTCTGTCATCTACCTACCTACCCAGTTCCCCTTTCTGGGGGCAACTGTACTGTCAAAAGTCTGTAATTTGTTGGGTCACAGATATCTGTGAATAATGAAATTTGTGAACCCTATTCTTAGATAAATGGATGACTGCATAAACACATCGGATTGTATATGCCATTTCCCAAGAATCACAGACCTCAGGCTGGGCGTGGCAGTGCAAGCCTGTAATCCCAGCTCTTGGGAGGCTGAGGGAGGAGGATAGCAAATTCAGTGCCAGGCCATCCTGGGCTGTATGGTGAGTTCAGTGCCAGCTTGGAGTACACAGTGAGACCCTGTCAAAATCACAGAGCTGTGGTCTGGGGCTAAAGATCTCTGCCTGTACTGTACCTTTACCCTTACTATCTCCCTTAGTATAAATTGTGGGTCCTCATGCAAATTGAAATGCAGGGCTCCTTTGTGTGTTTTGCATGTGTGTGTGTGTGGGGGGGGATACTAGGGACTAAACCCAAGGAGCTCTGAGCTGTGTCCCCAGCCCTCCCTGCTTTTTAAAATTTTGAAGCTATTCTGGCTTTCCTCAGGCTATCCTGGTTTTCATCATGATAGCCCGCCCTGCTTCCTCTAGGGTGTACTTTTATCCAATTTTTCCTCTTTTACTTAGCCCAAGCTCACTCTGCAGAGCAAGCCTCTCCCTCACTCTTCACCTTTTCTTTTTTTTGGGGGGGGGTACGGGGGATCAAACTTGGGTCCTTGCACTTGTGCAGCAGGCGGCGAAACCACTGAGCTAAATCCCTGGCCCTACTCTTCACCTTTTCAAATAACTTTGCTACTGATTAAAACAAATTTTTTTTAGGGGCCGGGGATTTAGCTCAGTGGTTCCGGCGCCTGCCTTGTAAGCGAAAGGTCCAGAGTTTGATCCCTGGTACCAAAAAAAAAAAAAAAATTTTTTTTTTGAGACAGGATCTTACTAAGTTGCCCAGGCTGATCTCGAACTTGCCATCCTCCTGCTTCAGCCTCCCAAGTAGCTGGGGTTACAGGCATGCACCACCATACCCAGCTCAGAGATCCTTCTTCAAACAATTTTAGCATTAAACTAAGAGCCCTGTGTGACTGCACAGGTCACACATCCATAAAGCTGATTCCATTATTTCTTTCTTTCCTTCTTTCTTTTCTTTCTTTCTTTCTTTTTGTATTGTTTTGGGTTTTTTTGGTACCGGGATTGAACTTGGGACCTTGCACTTGCAAAGCAAAGCAAAGCAGACGGTGGCACCACTGAGCTAAATCCACGGGGGCCTTGTTTTGATTTTTGAGACAGGGTTTCACAGTGTCATTCAAGCTGGCCTTGAACTTTCAATATAGCCTAGGCTGGCCTGGAACTCACAGCAATCCTCCTACCTCAGCCTCCCAAGTGCTGGGATTACAGGTATGTGCCACCATGCCTGACTCTTGTTCTTTCTTGTGGCTCATCCACTAACAACTTGGTGATTATGCTTGTGTCTGTGCTGTGTCTTCAATTTGTTCTCAATTTCAGATGCTGATTTTCTTTTTCTCCTGGTACTGGGGATCAAACCCAGGCTTTGCACATGCAAGGCAAGAGTTCCACTGCTGTGCTACATCCCTAGCCTTGTTCTCAACTTCAGACTCAATTTCAGAGCTGCTGCTGAAACTCTGTATATGGAGGTTCTTACAGCACCTCAAACTCCTCAGTTACCCCCAACACACACACACACACCCCTCTTCTGCTCCCAAAACTATAGTTTCTTTCTTCTACCACCTGCAGTACTTTTTTCTTTCTTTTAATTTGCACTACTGGGGACTGAATCCAGGGCCTTTGCACTAAATTACATCCCCAGTCCTTTTTTTTTGGTACCGGGGATCAAACTTGGGACCTTGCACTTGTGAGGCAGGCAGCAGCACCACTGAGGTAACTCCCCGGCCCTCCAGTCCTTTTTTATTCTGAAGCATTTGCTAAATTGCCCAAGCTGGGCTTAAATCTGCAATCCTCCTGCCTCAGCCTCCCAGAGTGCTGGGATTATAGGCATTATGTGCCCAAACTCAGCCCTTTTCTCTCCTTTTACTCATCTACTCTTTTCCAAGTCCCATCATTGTTGACCCTCACACTTAGGCCTCCCTCCTCTCCTTTCCCACAGTCTCCCCCTTCAGATGGTCCTTTATATGTAGCACTGTTCCTGGCCCCTGAGCTCAGTTCCACAGACTGTTTCTTTGCAGCTCCACTCCATGCACACCTCTCCCAGCCCTCATTCCCTAAGAGACATTCCTGATCATGTCACTTTCTCACTCAGAGACCCTAACTGACTCTTACTGCCTACAGAGTCAGGCACAAACTCCTCTGCCTGACATTTAAGGTCCTTTGTAGTGGGGCTCCAAACCTTTTCCATGCTCATCTCTTACTCCTCCTCTTCATGTCCCTGAGGTTTCAACCCAACTGTACAACCATCTGGTTCCTCCTTGGCCCCATGTTTTCCTGTCTTTTAAAATTTGAACGGCCTTCCTTTCCTCTTGTCATGTTCCCCAAGGTATATAGTCTGCTTACTCCATTGCAACCATGTGATTTCTCCAGCCCTTTCACCAGGGTCAACTGCATGTGGCCCTGCCCACTATGTCCCTGCTTCTCCTGTACTCGACTTGTTTCCTCCCCCAATCCCTACGGGAAGAGGAATCTCAGATGCAAGGATAGTTAAAATCATTATATATCAAGCAGTGAAATCAATCCCAGCTTTGTAGATTACTGGATGACCTCAGGCAAACTACTTAAACTCTGTTTTATCCAATGTAAAATAGGTGTAGTAACACCTTACAGGGTTTTTTGTTTGTTTCGGTTTTGGTTTTTGAGACAGGGTCTTGCTATGTAGTGCAGGCTGGCCTTTAACTCGCTATGAAGCCTGGGCTGGCCTCAAACTCACGGCAATCCTCCTGCTTCAGCCTCTAGAGTGCTGGGATTACAGACATGTGCCACCACGCCCGGCTTAGTCTTCAAAGAACTAACAAAGCTAACATATCCTAGGGACAGTGCCATTATTCAGGTCATCTCATAACCACCCATGCTGAGCTTCTTGCCTCCCTCTCCCCACCAAGTTCTGGGAGGCTGCATGTGGTGGGGGAAGCCTGGCCCAGAGACACTCAGGTAGCTGTGCTGGCTGTCTAGGGATGAGGAGAGCTGCTGGCTCTGCTCCCTTTGTTCAGACTCAGGGCTCAGGCAGCAGCAGGTGTGGGTGGCCCGGGGGAGGTAGTGACAGCTTCAGTGCTCACACGGGCTTTGCAGGTGACAGTTGGGACTTCAGGGCCCTGCCAGGAGAGGTGTTAATAGACTCCATGATGCCCCAGCTAATGGGCTTCCCTGGCGGAGAAGGGCCCCATCGAGAAACAGTCCAAGTCAAAGCTAAGCAGTTCTCGGAGCTAAGTGTAGCCTCCAGGTGGGGTAAAGCTTTGGTGCCAGAGCTGCTGAATGACTTCCAGCAGACCTGTTTCTCTCCAAGCCTGTTTTCTCATCTGTAAATGCACAAAGTGGCCTTGATTATCTTTATGAGCTCCGGGCCCCGGAACGGCACTACCCCAGGACGAAGTTCTAGAGTCTCCCTAGAGTTTAGGTTCCTTGCTCCTCTGGGACCCTTGACCTTTCTCATTTATAACAGTTGCCATCCAAATTCAACCGTACCCTGGAGGCTCCAAGAACAGAAAGTCAAGGTGAACAGATGCAATAGAAAAATTATTTATTGATAAGGTAAGGGGTGGCTCTTGCTGGTTGGTGCCTCCCGGGCCCTGGCCAAGGGATTGCCACCACTCTGCTCTTCCCTCCGGCATTTAAAGGCAGAAAATCTGTCCACACTTTACCTTTAATGACCTTAAGGGGGAAGTGCCCCAGTGGGATAGGAAATCACAGAATTCAATCTCAGGAATAACACTTCTAGGCCCTTGCTTTTAAGCACTTAAGGGCAAAGTGGAACAGCGCGGGAGGTAAGAGTCGGAACTTTTTCTGAAGTCTGGAAGCAGGACCTCCGAGTCCTTACCTTTAAAAATGTCTTAAAGGCGAGGCATGTACGGAGTACAACGGAGGTCCTCTCTGTCCAGGACTACAAAGCACTGTTCCAGTTACCGTTTTTAGAATTTCTTTATAGAAGTGACCAAGCATTGAGAAAAGAAAACTACCTTTCAGGACTATTTTCCTTCCTGACTTGCCCACCAGCCGGCCAAGCTGCCGGCGCGAAACCCCTGTCCACCCCTTCCACTCGCCCGGGTGGCGGGCCATCCGGAACACTTGGTGGCGCCGCCAGCCACGCCCACCTACCCCGCCCCCGTGGTCACCCCAGAGCATCCTGGGAGTTTTTGGTTTCCTAGACGGCCTCTACAAAGGAAGCCGGTTGGGGGCGGGGCGGGGCCTGCGGAGGGCGCGGTGGCCATGGCGACCGCAGTGGCCATGGCGACCGCGGCTCAGAGTACTGAGAGGTCGTGACACGACCTGGAGCGTTGTTTGAAGAACTTGGCGTTGCGCGGCACCAGGTTGGCGAGGAAGCGTTTGGCCTTCTTGGTGAGGCTCTCGCGGCGCGCAGGCGGCGCAGGGCCCTCGGGGCTGCCAGACTCTGGCCGCTGGCCCCCGGCCCGGCCCCGGCCCCGCCTCAGCCTGATCTGGCGCACCGCGCCCTCGAAGAGCTCCCGCGTGTTGTGGTGCAGCGCGGCCGACGTCTCGATGTGCTTGCAGCCCAGCGTCCCGGCCAAGTGGCGGCCTTCTGCAGGAAAGGACAGGTTCAGAGTGGGACTGTGCAGGTCTCCAGAGCGCAGTGGAAAGGGGGTGGAAAGGGGCTGGGATCCGGAGCAAGAACCACGGAGGGATACTATGGTGGGGGGTGGAGTGCGAGGTGGAGGGTGCAAAGGACCTTGGAGAGGAAGGGAGGGCACGCAAGAAGGGATTCCTAGGGCTCTAGGTGTGAGGTATTGGGGCTCTGGCCCTAAGCCTGGGAGCTAAATGCAAGTGAGTTGGTGCACCAGTGAGTGTAAGAGGACTTTAAGGAGCCAAGGTGACCTGGAAGTCACCTGGAGAATGAAAGTTGGAATAGGCTCAGGATACACACCCTCCAGTGACACTTCCCGGGACCGAGCCAGGTCACTTTTGTTTCCCACGAGGATGACAGGTAGGTCATGATGGGGCCTCCCAGCCCGTAGCCGAAATAAAGTCTCTGGAACTTTGGAGAAGCTTCGTCGATCGGTGACTGAGAAGACGATGAGAAAGGCGTCCCCCGTCTGAAGGCAGTGGTCCCGCAGCCACCCCCCTGCGTCCCCCTGTAGATGAGCAGAGAGCCGTGGAATGTTAGGACTAGAGGGATAGGTTACCCTGTCTAGGGCCGCATCTCAAAGATGAGGAATCCAACTGAGGGAGGAGTCTCCTGCTTAGGACAGCAGTTAGTTAACGGCAGAATCTCCACACCCAGTGTGTTTGTGGAGGTGGAAGTTAATGTGAGCCCTGCATGGGCAGGGGGGTCTTGGGGACATAGGATCCTAGACGAGATTAGCCATCCTATGCTTCAGCTCTTGATTCAGAAAAGGATGCTTTCAAGAATACATAATTTGGCCTCTCATTTCTACATAGCAACCTTATGTGCAAATGTTCAGAAGTCCTTACTTTTTTCCCCTTTCTGATTACTCCAGAGCCCTGAGCTCTTGTCACACAGACACTTCCAGGCTGAAGAATTTATCGATGGGGTCAGTTTCTGAGTGTCTGGCCTGGCTTGAAGCTGTCAAATTCAGATCCTGACTTTCCCCTGGGTCAGAAGATCCTGGAAAAAGTGGCTCTTTCGGCCATGGGCCATGTGATTACATATTAGTGTGGGCCTTTGTTCTCAGAGATGGTGCAAATAAAAGGTCAGTTTCCAGTACATGTTGAAACCAGGATCTGGCATCCCACTAGCCTTCAGCCAGACTGCCTTTTCCCACATCTCCCAGCCTCACCTGCTTGCAGCCACATCTTAGTCCTCACCTGTTCCCAGATGTCATAAACAACTAAAGTCACTTCCTCTTTATCCACCATGATGCGTCTCTCATAGGTGTCTTCTGTCGGGAAACAGAGGGAATAAAGCCCATTAGGATGTTCCCCAACACTCGTGGGACCTGGTAACCAGGAACACCTCAGATCCCAGCACCAGAGAACCCCTCCAGGGAGTCTGCCACAGAAAGCAGTGGAGAAGCTTCTCTTTGGTTCTTTCCTCCAAGGGCTGCTCATGCCAGGAGCACACCGGTCCCTGAGTCCACTCAGCCCCTGCAGGGGTTCCCCAAATACCTGCATTCTCCGGTTCATGAGCACTGTCTCCCTGGAGACCGCCAAAAGTGCCTGCTAGGGTGCTCTTGCCTACACCGCTCTCCCCCACCAGCATGACCTTGAAGACTTCATCCTTTTGGGGAGGGGCTGCCTCTCCGGAGCCCAAGGAATCAGAAGAGCCAGAGGATGAGCCCTGAGGTGGCCAGTCAAGTTCATCTACAGCCTGGGCCCGCCGAAGCTGGTGCTTGTAGGGTAGAGGCATACTGCCTCTTCGTCTGGGGGCTCCAGGGATAGGGGGTGGCCCGCTTCGGTCCAACCCTGCTAACAGTTTCTCTGGCTTCTTCAGAAGTATGGCATCTGCTTCTAGAGGGCAAAGAAAAGGAAGCCATGAGTAGGATGTGCCCTGCCATCGGCAGAGGGCTTATGTCAGGCAGCTCCAGTGTCAGAGGCCCAGCCACACCCTGTTAACCATGACCTAGAAGAAACTGAGAATCTTTGGCCCAACCTCTTTTGAAGTCCCCCAGAAACCTGAGCAGTGAAACTCCAAGGAGCTGACATAATGGCTTCCCTATTGTGGCCCTAACCATAACCTGTTCAAGGCATGCCCCATGCAGGGGAGGTACCTGTGCGCAGGTCCACAACTCACTCAAACTTAACACTGACACAGGCACACCCCAGGCTAGGCCTCTGGCCCTCGGGGTGGGGGGAGGCTTCCTTCCCTCTACCTTGGGGCCCTGCCTCCTCCTGTTTCTGCATTGGCAACCCCCAGGCTGAGGAGGGGCCCAAGGGATGAGAAGCTGCTGCCCAGGTTCTGTGGAGTAGGTACAAGCAGAGGCAAAAACTTTGTGGGGAGCCTGTTCCAAGGCTCTGTAAGATGATTTGTGTGTTGTTCTTCGTAGGTGGATGGGTGTGTGAGAGGCTGCTTCCCCCAGCACATGGTTGTGTGTGAGAGTCTTTCTGCATCCCTGGCTGTCCCTGAGTGAAAGAGATTATTATGTTTGGGAGAGGTAGAGGTGAAGAGAGACTGTGCGTGTGTGTGTGTGTGTGTGTGTGTGTGCGCGCGTGTGTGCGTGCGCGTGTGCGAATGTGTGTGCTGGGGGAGGGTGACAATGCATGGTCAGAGTAACCAGAGGGGGAACAATCAGACACAACAAAGGGGGATGGAGAGAGGCTGGAAATAGCTCAGGATCAATATTTGGCTAGCAGCCAGAGCCTCCAAGAGCCAGAAGAAACCCTTACGACAGGTCCCCAGGGTAGCCCCCTACTCGTGATTCCCAGGCTTGTGGGCTGGCCCTTCCTTCCCCCGCTTCCCTCCTGTCTATCCCAGCCTATTATGAATGAGGCTGACCTAGGGGCCATGAACCAGTTTCTCAGAGCTCTGGAGTGATGGGGGAGGGGACATTTGGGCAGGTCTTCTCCCCTCACCACAGCCCAGCCCCAGTGCTTAGGAGAGCCAGGTCTTCTCTACTTCCTGACTGGCTTTTCCTCTCTTGCTGATTGAACCCCTAGTTCTGACCTTCCCACCAAAGCATCAGCTCTTGCTCCTATAGTTTCAGCCAGAACCTGCTCAGGTTAGCTCTCACCTGGTGTGGGTGTCCCTGGTGGGGAGGCCTGGTGGCTGCCGGAGGGACAAAGTGCTGTGGTTTCTGTGTCCATGTCCATATCCATGTCGGTGTCAGGGTCTGTGTGCATCTGTGTGTGTTTCGAGCGCAGCCCAGCAGCTCCCAGCACCGGCTCCCTCACTCGGCAGCACTGTCAGCTTTTCCCTTTAAATACCACCCCCCTTACGCCCTCCCCCAGGCACCTGGGGGAATGTCCCGCCCCCTGATGAGGTCACATATGCTAATGAGCAGTGATGTCAGCGGGATTCCCTCCTTCGGCCCCCTCCCTTTATTTGTGTCATTTCCCTCTGGGAGCACACTCATTGAGGAGTCTGGCTAAGGCTGGACAGAACAAAGTCAGGGGCAGAAGAGACTGGCTTTCAGAGAGGGGTTTGGGGGGCTTCGGGGTAAGGGAGCTAAGGATAGCAGGAGGTGAAGTGCTGGGAAGGGCAGTCTTTTTCTTAGGGGGCCAGAACTATGCCTCATTTGTCTCTGTTTCTAATCCCCTATCCCAGCACCACCAGAGAGTGGATGCTCCGTGGCTGAAAAGAGGGATGAGAGCATAAAGACCAAAAGCTGATCTGAAAGACAGAGAAATAAGCCAAAGAGTTGCAGGGGGAGCAGACAGCCACCTTACCGCTCTTCCACCCTCCCTCTGGGTCAAGAGCCACAAAAGTACCCATTTCCCAACCTCTCCCTAAACAGGTGGGGGCCCCAAGGAAGATGCTTCGTTTAGGCAGCTTCATTTGCCACTTCGGAACTGGAGGGTACAAACCTCTGTGGGGACACCTTTACCCTCTCTTCCTCTACCAGGCCCAGCCGGGCAGTGTAAATCAAGCAGGAGAAATGGAAGAGGTGAAGCTGGCTTGCAGTGAGATGTTTGGGTAGGCCATTCCTTACTGCTCCTTTTCTGCCCAGTTCTTTTTGTCTTTGGGTTCCCACTCTTATTATTTATTTTTGCAATACTTGGGGTTGAATCCAGAGCCTTTGCACTGAGCTGCATCTCCAGTCCCCTTTTAAAAAGCTGAGTCAGGGGCTGGGGTTTTAGCTCAGCGGTTCTGCTGCCTGCTTTGCAAACATAAGGACCCGAGTTCGATACCCAGTACAAAAAAAAAAAAATAAAGAAAATCTGAGTCAGGTTCTTACTAAATTTCTAAATCGCTGGGTTCAAACTTGTGAACCTCTGACCTCACCCACCCAGAGTACTGGGATTACAGGTGTGGACCACTACACCCAAAAAGTGCCACTTTTGTCTTCCTCCTTCTAGACACCCTCAAGTATCAAATATACTCTGATTTCTTCTTCCCCCTTTACCCTGTTTGCCAGGTACTGAGCCAGGCATTTTTCTGCATTATTTCCTTTTCATGCCTCTAAGGCTCAGGGTGGTAGGTGGGTGGCCTGTCCCTAAAGCAATTGTGTGGAAGTCACCAGAATGCCCACCCAGACCTTTCCGAGGCCAGTTTGTTTTTTCATTTCTACACTATGCTGGTTTCATTGTCTTATATATTGTCTTTTATTGGGAACAATCTATTTTTCCATCCTCACCAGACTATTCCAAAGAAAGAGACAAATAGTAATCTTGGGAATAATGTGCAGTGACACTATCTGGAGGTGGGCTACAGGGCAGGATCTAGTCTAGAGGAAGCAAAAAGGACTCCTCAGCAGCTAAAATATGTACTTGCTCATTAGATAGATTCTTCAGTTAATTACAGCCTAGTTATTCTCATTTTATTCACAATTTTTGTATCCATGTTTGTTCCTGTAGTAACAGATCAGAAGCACATTTAGAGCAGCAAGTGATTCTTATAGTCTAGTAGCAAGAGAGGCAACCATTTTTCCTTTTTTTATGGTGGAGATCCAATGAAAGATCTTGTGCTAGGCATGTGTCCTAATACTGAGCTGAAACCTCAATGACCTCCAACCCCAAAAGAAGCATTTAAACAGGGTAGACCTGGTCTAAGGCAGTGGTGGCAAACCTATGGCACGTGTGCCACAGCAGGCTGTTCGTATCTTTGTTTCGTTTTTTTTTTTTGGTACCGGGGATCGAACTTGGGAGCTAAATTCCCGGCCCTAGGCTGTTCGTATCTTGACCTCTAAAAGGTTCGACATCACTGGTCTAACGTCATTTAGCATACGGACAAGTAGTACTGCCCATCCCAACAGTTATAGCTTCTGAAGACATTGGTTCATAGAAGCCATGTTTTTATGAATTATCCTCAGCTATTTAGAAAATTTTATATTAGACTGCAGATCTGCTGAAGATTAGTGTAAAATTATAGAATGATTTCCTCCCAAAATAAGCTTTTTTGTTGTTGCTTTTTTGGTACCGGGAATCAAACTCGAGTCCTTGCACTTGCACAGCAGGTGACGAAACCACTGAGCTAAATCCCAGCCCCTCAAAATGAGCTCTTTTTGAAAGTTTTGCTGTGGTGCTGGGGATTAAACCCAGGGTCTTGCACATGCTACACAAGTGCTGTAGGGCTGAGCTACATCCACAGATCATTTTATTTTATTTTAAATTTTATTTTGAAGGGCCGGGGATTTAGCTCAGTGGTTCTGCAGCCTGCCTTGCAAGCTCAAGGTCCCGAGTTCGATCCCCGGTACCAAAAAAAAAAATGTATTTTGAGATAGGGTCTCGGTATGTAGCTCAGGCTGGTCTTGAACTCACTGTGTAGCCAAGGCTGCCCTTGAACTCACCGAAATCCTCCTGCCTCAGGCTCCCAAGTCCTGGGATTACACATGCACCACCACGCCTGACAAGATCTTTTTATTTTGAGGCAGGGTCTCACTAAGTTCCTCAGGCTGGACTCAAACTCATTGTTCTCTTGACTCAGTTTCCCTTGAAGCTGGGAACACAGGTATGAGACACTGTCCTGGAGTGAGTTTTATATTATAAAGGAGCAAGATCTATGTAGCTGGAAAACTCACCTGAGTAGTTGGATTCATTTCTATGTGTGTTGTTTTTTTTTTTTTTTGGTACTGGGGATCGAACTTGGGACCTTGCGGTTGCGAGGCAGGCACCAGAACCACTGAGCTAAATCCCTGGCCCTGGATTCATTTCTATGATACCAGGTAAGAATAATCAGTGGCTGCAGATGCCAGCAAGAGTTTTCTTTTCTTTTTCCAGTACCTGGGATCAAAACCAGCAATAGTTGCCTTGCAAGCGCAAGGGCCCAAGTTCGATCCCCGGTACCAAAAAGAAAAAAAACAAAAGCAAAAAAAGCCCTAGCAACAGTTAAGTTTTCTACTGTGACTTTTGGCTCCCTCAGTTCAGCCCTAGGCCACAGAAGCAGGCTGGGTTTTGCTCTGAGCAACCTCTTCCCTCCTGCTAGTAAGAGGGGGCTGGAAATGGTCTTCCACTGAGCACTTGCCCATGACCAGGCACCCTGTGGAATAGTGGAATAAGGATATCTGGAACCAAACCAAGCCAAGTCTGAATCCTGAACCTAGGAAAGGGGGTTGAGACGGCCCATAGCAGAGCTCTGCAGTGTTCTTAACTACCGGTGAGAAAGGATCCAGCACAGCAGGCACCCAGCTCAGGCTGTGGTGCTTCCATAGCTTAAGGTTGTATGGCTGGTGGTCTCTTCTCCTTCCAGCAAGGCCTAGAGCCTTGTTCAGGTCGATTTTGTGCTTTAAGGACTGTTATCTCAGACTCAAATCCACAGTTTGATCCTCATCTGCTGGAACATCCTGCCTCACTAAGAGCCTTGACAGAGGCCCTCCCCAAGACAAGGCACCTTGGAGAGCAGCGTCAATCTTGACAGGATTTTGAGGTGCCTCAGGCTAGAATTTGAATGTGGAATATGCCCAGCAGTCCCTTGCTCCTGGGTCTATTGGAAGGTAGGACCTAGGGGTTTTAGATCTTTGGGGGAATGCCCTCAAAGGGAACCATGGGACCCTAGTCTCTCTTGGCTTCATTCTGCATTAGGTGAATGGTTCTGCCAGCCTTGACCTCCTGCCATAATGTGATGCCCTGTGTCCATCAGACGCCTGGGTCAACAGGGCCTGTCCATCACGAACTGAAAGCTCCAAAGCTGACGAAAAGAAGCCTTTTAAGTTGATTATCTCTACTACTCCTTACAGTGACAGAAAGCTAACACCTTGTTTTTTTTCCCTTGGGCCTCAGTGAAAGTAAACTTGTGTGCCCCAATTCCCCCCTCACTTGGGCAGAAGCCTCTGTCTTAGCTTCCCTGTGCTGCCTGTTCAAGCAGGCTGATTCCCCCTACCAAGCTGAGCCTCACCATGGCTGGAAAAGTAGTATTACTGCTTGTACCATGCAGAGTACACACCAAATGCCTAGAGAAAATTCTGTAGGCATAGCCCTCCTTAGTACACTTTGTCCTAAAGTCATTCCTCCAGCACTTTTACCTTCACTCTTTGTCCACTTTCAAGTTAGAAATACCCCTAGAAGGAAAAAGGTCTTGGAACAGGTCAAGGGATGAAGATAATCAGGTTACGGGCTTTTGAGATGACTATGGAAGAAACGAGCAAGGCCAGGTGGTAGACAGGAGGAAATCAGTACTCTGCTTCAGATCTCAGGGAGCCTGACAGTGGCTGGATCCAAGGGCTGTTTGCACTGGGAAAGGAAGCCCAAAGGAAGAGAGCTCTGTGAACAGGAGTCAGGTTTTCCAGAGGCCCTTCCTCAATCTCTGGAGAAGGCATGGAGTGAAAGGAACTCAGGTCTTCCCTGAGCCAAGACGCCAGGTCCTAAGGCTGCACGTGGGCCCACAGCCCCTTTACTGCTTCTCCAGGCTCTTGCTCACTAGGAGAGAGGAAATTATGTAATTACTGCTAGGGGTGAGGATGTTGACAGGGTGTAATCAACAGGCCTCCTCCGCCAGAGGGGAGGGCTGGGGACTGGTTCCGTTGAGGAAAGCCTCAGCTTCTTTCCTGAGGTGTCCTGTCAAACTCTGGGGCAGCTGCCTTCCCTGAGGTTCCAACATTCCTCACGGGCCATTCTTTTGCCCTCCCTAGCTCCTTTGGCTCTGGCCACTGCTTGTGCTTCTGTTGCCTTCTCTGGGGTCCAGGCTCTGGCCCTCAAGTCTCTTTAATTTACTTGACCTGCTTAGAATGTTCACCTCTATACTAACTGGTGAGAGCATCTTTTTATTGGTTTTTTTTTTGAGACAGGGTCTATGTAGTTCATGCTGGCCTTGAACTTACAGCAATCCTCCTGCCTCAAGTCTTCCAAATGCTGGGGTTACAAGCATGCACCACCACACCTGGCTGAGAACATTCTTTAGAATTCAGCTTGAGCCCTCTTCCAGGAAGACTTCTAGGATTTGGTCTGGATGATGCCAGCCCTTTCACACCCTGAAATGTTTGTGATTTTTTTTCCTTCAACTAATCTTTGCCTGCTTTGAGGGAGCTAGGCTGAGAGCTCATCTGCCTTGCACAGGACAGACTGTTAAGTGCCTGGTGGGGGTGGAGGGCAGAAGTCACAGCTTCTGTGTTCTACCAGGGACAGCCTGCTCCTGTGATCTGTGCTTGGAGAGCACTTCATAAACGGAACCTTCCAAGCTGCAGGGGCCCGCTGGCTCCTGACTTCCGGCCTGGCACTGAACAGAGGCTTGGTGCTCATTGCTGATGTCCCTTACCGGAGGGCTGGGCCCCAGGCAGCAAGTAGAGGTGGAAAGGGTAGTTCCTTAGGGTTCCTTGAATTTTCTTACCTTCTGAGTGATATAAAAATCAACAGTAAGATGAACAGAAAGAGGGCAGCAGATGGGGGGCTTAGCAAAGGCACAAAGGCCCCTCTATGGGGAGGAATACGATGAAGTAAACAGGCTGAGATGGTAGGAAGGCAGGGCTCATAGTTAATTGACAAAATGTTAAAACTTGTGATTCCTTTATTTTTTACTTTAATTTCCTGGGCAATGACCTAGCTATGGGACAGAGGTATTCAGTGTGTTCTTTTTGTGAACCAGGCCCTCTATGGATGGAGGTTGGCAGAACCTCTGGCTCTGCCTGATTCCCCGCCTTAGATGCTGGTGAGTTTCCAACCAATTGGCATTCTGGTGCTTAAGGCCACTTTTGGGTGGGGGTTTGGCAAGGATGGAGTGTCCAGGCCTATGATCCTTTAAGAACTGTATGGTCCAGGTAGCTGTGGGATGAGGAGAGGGAGGTGGAGGGACGGTGGTCTCTGGCTGTATACAGAGGTCTCATCAAGCCCTCTCCCTGCTTGCAGGACATCTAACTTCCAGCAGCTACACACGTCAATGGGGAAGCTGAACTAGCCTCTAGCAGGTCATGCTGCTGTGATTAGAGCCTGCAGGAGAGCCAGGTCACCTCAGGAAAGCAGTGGCTCATCCTCTGCCTCAACCACCCAGACTCCTGGCTCAGCCAGTGGCATTAGCAGCACATCGTCCTCATCCTCTGGGGCCAAGACCACTGTGTGGGGTCCAGGTGGGGTCCAGGTTGGTCCTGGGGGCCACAAGCTGGGCAGGAGGCGGCCTCGAAGGGCCTGCACCACTCCAGACAACAGTGATGGCTCTAGAGGAGCTGAGGGCAGTGGTCCCTGGGTCTCAGGGACAGTAGGGAGGGCTGGAGTTGCGCTGGCAGATGGGAGGGGGGATTTGATGGGCAGGGGGGGTGCTTCTTCCCCATCCTGCCCACCCACTGCTCCACCCTCACAGGCTGGACCTGTGCTGCCATCCAGGCCCTCCAGGGGAGCAGAGGAAGGTGTGACCTGGGGTCTGGTCTCAGGGGCCCGAGCTGGAGGGTTGATTCGGGGAAGCAGGCCCCAGCGACGGAGACGGCGAACCAGGCGACGCACTGAGCGGCCCCGCTGGCGGCGGCGGCCACCTGAGGCACCCCCTGGAGTCACATCCTGACGCAAGATCTGCAGTAGAGAACGCAGGTTGCCCAGCACTGAGTTCTGCAAGGACAGGAGGCAGAGAGGTGAGAGTCAGGGGGCTGGATGGGCAAGTAAAGGAGGTGCGGTGCTGGCTGCAGTGGGGCTGGGACTGGGAGGAGTGGGGGCTGGAAGGAATGACTTACGTCATTAGGGTTCTCCGTAGGGAAGTCTTCCACAGGAGGGATGGCACCCTGGGCAATGAGCTGCCCATAGGAGGGGGGTGCCTGCTGTTGCACAATCTCAGCCTCCATCCGGGAGAGGGGTGCAAAGATGCTGGGGGAAATGGGGGCTGCTCAGTCACTGGTGGTCCCCAATCAGGGCAGCCTCCCCACCCTGGGCAGGCCTCTCCCCACCACACCCAGCCTAGAAGAGCTGGAGCTATGCTATGGCATGCCTAAAGGTCACCTGATGTCTCCTCCTTCCTTGAAACTGCTCTCAGGGTTCAGACTTGGTCTTTCCAAGAACTAATCAAGGTGGGTACCTGCATGTTCCCTGCAGTTGCATCAGCTGCATGGTCCCATCTTGCCCTCGGTGCCCACATTTCTACAGCCAGCCCACTTCCACTGACCTGTACTCCTGGGTGCGAATGGCATAAAGCTTGCAGGTGCAGCCCAGGGCGATGACCAGCAGCAGGCCACACACCAGGCTGCCAATGACTGCAGCTGTGATGACCTTTCGGGGCAGGGCATAGGAGCATTCCCACTCATCACTGCCGTCGGCACAGTCTGGCTGCCCATCGCACACCCATGTCTCATATACGCATTTCTCATCTTGACATCGGAAGTTGCCAGGCTGGCAGTGCCGGCAGCGTCTCTCATCTGCTCCATCGGCACAGAATGTCTGGTAGTTGCAGCGGTCAGCAGGTAGGTAGCAGGCAGTGGCAGCAGGGGTGTCGGCAGCCCCGCAGGGGAAGTGTCCAGGTGGGCAGCTGGGGCAGTTTTCCTCATCTGTGCCATCGGCACAATCCCACAAGCCATCGCAGTGCTGTGCCTCACTGTAGCACCGCTCCCCTAGGCTTTCACCAGCCCCCAGGCCAGAGCGCAAGCCACAGGGCCGGTCCCAAGGCAAGCAGTATCCCCACACATGGTAGGTAGCATTGAATCCACGACCACTGTTCTTAGCAGGTGTGTAGTAGGTCACGACAGCCTGGCCAGACAGTGTCTCCACAGTGACAGCCTTACCATTGCTGAAGTGGGTTAGACTGCGTAGCAGCCGAGGGGTCTCGGGAGGCCCAGGGCCATCATACACATGCACTGCATCCCCAGTGCCCAAGTCCAGGGTTGTGAAGCGCACTGCCAGCCGCCGGCCATCATGGGGGTCCAGCAGCCACAGGCAGGACTGGGGGGACTGGGAGTGGGAGACTGAGGGTGGGTGTGAAAATGCAGGGGAGGAGAAAACCCCGTAGAAATCCTCCAAGGTGAGATTGCAGGATAGGGTGGGGCTGGGGTCAGGGGTCAGGCCAGGGAATGCGTCTGAGCTGCAACCGGCTTCGTCTGAGCCATCGCCGCAGGCATCAATCCCATCACAGCGCAGGCCGGCAGGTATACAGCGGTGGTTCAGGCACTGGAACTCTTCCTCCAAGCACATCAACCAATCTACAGAGGCGTCAGAGAGAGGGACTGTGAGGCACCAGGGCCCTCGGGATCCTCTCCTCTTCCCTGGGGCTTCCAGTGTCTATTCTTTTTTTTGGTACGGGGGATCAAACTTGGGTCCTTGTGCTTGTACACCAGGCGCCAAAACCACTGCGCTAAATCCCCGGCCCTCCAGTGTGTATTCTAATGGCCCCTCACACACTCCTGTCCAGCCTACCTTGGCTGTAGGAGAGCAGGAAGCCCTGGCCCATGGGTGCTCTGGCCCCGGCATAGCTGTAGGTGATGGTGACGTTGCCCCCTGGCAGCTGCAGAGGGCTGGCAGGTGCCTCACACAGGGAGATCAGTGGCTGAAGAGGAGAGTGCAGGAGTAAATGCTCTGAGCCACAGGCCAGGTGCAGTTTCTGGAACCTACAGAGGCAGAGGAGAGCAGAACATGAGATGTTCTAACTGCCTCCTGCTTCTTACATCTAGTGCCACCAGGCCCCTTCTAACTCAAGAAGTACAAACAACTGCTTATCCATGACTCAAAGAGCCAAATGAAAACTCAGAGTGGAAGCTGGGCGTGGAGATGTAACCCCAACACTCTGGGAGGCTGAGGCAGGACGACTGCAAGTTCAAGCCCAGTTTGGGCAACTTAGTGACTTAGCAAGAACCTGTCCAAAACAATATAATTAAAAAAGGCTGGGGATGTAGCTCAGTAGGAAGGCCCTAGGTTCAATCCCCCGTACTGTCCCCCCAAAATGGAAAACTCAGCCAAATATAAACAATGGGACAGTCCTGACAGAGGCCCATGGCACAAGATCATGAGATATATCCTAGGGCCCTCTGGAATAACTAACTTTGCTTAAGTTAAAGAACAGTTTTATTAAAACAAACAAACAAAAGTTTTATTGCTTTCTGGTTGTTGCAGCGATGTTACCCAACGATGGCCCCAGAATACAACAATTACTAGACAGTTTAATTAACCAGAACTCACTAACCCCCAATGCCAGCTGAGTGAGACTGACACCCTTATGGCATGCAGAGCCCTCTGTCCCAACAGCCTCTCTCCAGACTCTCTCTCTTTTTGGGTAAATTCACAGCAAGTGGGGGCGGGGATTTAGCTCAGTGGCACTGCCCCTGCCTAGCAAGTGCAAGGTCCTGAGTTCGATCTCTGGTACCAAAAAAAAAAATCATAGCAAATGAACTGTGTGAAGCAAACAGCTAGATATTTACCATGGACCCCAACCCCACGACCTCAGGTCAGAGAAACCCGGGGAGACCTGGAATATTTAACAGATATGGGGGTAGCTGGAGATGTAGATCTGTGGTAGAGGACTTGGCTATCATATGTGAGGCCCTGGATTAAATTCCAGCACCACAGAAAAAACCAAACCAAACAAACAACCAAATAAAACCTGAAGCTGAGGAAGGTTCTAAGATGATTAAGAGATCTGAATCTCAGGCATGGATGTACAACAGACTGAAGAACTCCTCAGAACACTTCTATCTGAGGCCAAGACCGTTTCTAGAGTGACCATCGTCCTTTGGAGATGTCCAGGACTCAAAGTAGATGACCACTTCTGCCAGGTATGGTGGCACATACCTGTAATCCTACACTCAAAGAGGCTGAGGCAGGAGAATTTTGTGTTCCAGGCCAGCCTGTGCTACATAATAAGACCCTGTCTCAAAAAAAAAAGAAGAAAAACAAAAGAAAAAGCCAGATGTGATGGTGCACACCTGTAATCCCAGCACTTTGAGAAGCTGAGGCAGGAGGACTAAAGTTTGAACACAGCTTGGGTAACTTCTCAACTTAGCAAGATTCTGTCTTAAAAAACAAAAAATAAAAGGGCTAGGGATTCAGCTTAGTGTGAAGGCCATGAGTTCAGTACACAGTACTGGAAAAAAAAAAGTCTACCTCAGTCCAGCTTTAATTTACCATATCTAGCCTAGAACAAGTCCAGCTTTTAGGCAGACTAGGGCAAATACAATGCTTCTCTTTTCCCGTTGGCAAGAATGGAAAAGGCCACAGAGAAATGATTCCTGAAGACATCCACAGTGGACCCGGAAGGGGCAGGGGAGAGGAACCCGGCTCATGCCTTGCTTCTCACCTGACCGTCACAGTCTGCTCCTTGCTGCCCAGGATGACCCAGGTACAGTTGGCAGGAAAGCTTCGGCTTTCCCGGCCCAGGGGCCTCTGTAAGGTTCCCTGCACTTCCAAGAGCAGTGCTGGGGGGTTCACACAAGCTGGAGGGAGGAAGGTGGGCACAGTGGTAGAGAGCCCCTTAACGTCCCACTCCTCCCCAGGCCTGTGGCCTCCAAGGGCCTGTGCTCTTCAAGAGGGAGCAGAAGCCCTCCCTCAGCCCGCTGGACTCTCCTCTCCACACTCTTCGTAGCTTCACCCTATTAACACCATAAACAATGCTCAGGTCAGGTTCATGCGGGCCCTTAGGCAGGAGGAGCAGGAAACAGTGTCTCTACTCTCCTAAAGACTATATTCTAGCTAGGGAGACTGAGCAGGGATATTCCACGGAAAAAATGAAATGGTACTTAACAACTACCAGGTGAGGGGCCACATTGTACCTTGTTTTCCCTATCTATAAAGTCAAAGATAAATAGTTTTCACACTAAAACCACCGTAGGTTAGTCCTCATCCCCAATCCCCAAGTAGAACCACAGGGGAACCCTCTGCTCACCAGGATTTGAGAAAATGGTACGGTCTGGATGGGCCAGAGCGCCTCCTAGAGGGAGAGCGAGAAAGGGCAGGAGAGTAAGTAAATCTAAATAAAAGTTTTCTTTACCTGAACTCGAGGAGACTTCCGGGTAGCTTCAGGGAAGGTGCAGAGGTGCTGGGGACTACGGTGTGTGACCTGGAAGTAAGGTCCGCCGGCAGGACCTGTAAGGTTACTAGGGTGATCTGGAGACGCCCGAGAGGACCAGGGCTGAGAGCCGAGAAGCATTGCGCAGGGGTTGGGGCTGGGGGCCAGCGCTGGCTGCGACGGCAGGGCTGGAGGGCACGGGTAGTCAGGGCGGGTCGACGGGTCATAAAGCAGGGCACTGGACCGACCAGGCCCAATGACAGCTCTGGGGGCTGGGCGCCCGGTGGATAGTCCGGTCTCGGTTCTTACCAAGGAGGAGGAGCAGGAGGATGGCAGCCAGCATCCCGAGGCGTCCGGAAGCGCAGGGCGAGTCCCGGAGCTCCGGTCGTCTACCCAGCGGAGAGGCAGGGATTTCCCAGGGGTCCAGGCTCCCGGGTGCCGCTGCTCCTCGGGGCCTCATGACCCGGGCTCGATCCGATCCGAGCTCCCGCGGCCAGGGCGGGGGGGGGGGGGGCTAGGGAGGCGGAGGCCACCCAGGGCTAGAGGCGGAGCCTCTCGCCAACTTCTGACTTGTTTCCTGCGATCGCCTGGAGTCTTCTCCCGGGGGCGAACTCCGAGGTCCCGGCACTCGGCTCGGAGCTGGGGCCGGGGGCTGGGGCGCGTCCTTGCTTACAGTCGGGCGGCAGGCCTCGAGTGTCCCGGTCTAGGCCTGGCTGCCACCTGCCGGGGCTGTCGACCACTTCCTCTTAAGACCAAACTTTGCTGACTGTCGGCCTCCAGGGCTGGTCCGCGCGCCGCTCAGCTTGCCCAGCGCGTCCAGTCCTCGGGACGCGGCGGGGGAGCGGGCGGCGGAGAGGCGGTCGGCAGGCGCGATTCCCGGCCCGCGCCCGGCCGGTACCCCAGCCTGCCCGGGAGTTGGAGCCGCGGGGGGGTGGGG